AAAGAATGTTAAAATAACTTTCTCATTTAAACAAGATTTCGAATCTAAAAGCACTCTCTTGTACAATACAATATACTTGTACTTGTATACAATATCTTGTACTCTACAATATAATCATAACTCGTGGTGATGCAAAAGGAAATAGAACAGTCCAAATTAAATCAAATGTTGAACAGTAGTCAAGGGCTACACAATTAATTGCTACTGGAAACTGGCTCACTAACTTTATAGGAATGTCAGAATTAAAATGTCGGCAGCGAAAACCTTAAAGCCGAATAATTGACTATAATCGCTGGCAGGAAACTAGCCACGAAACACGCATGTGATGCCAGAAAGACTCTCTGTCTAAAAACCAAAATCTCGGCTTAAATATTCGCTGCTAATTTGCATTCTGGTGAAAAATTCGGAAAGGAGAAGTTAAAGTAAAAATTGAAATTATAAATAACTGAGACACAATAACACGCCGAACAAATACTAATTCAGAAGTCTGTACAGTTGCGCGCCTCCAACCTGCACGCAACAAAGTGGTGACTGCTGAAACTGGAAATTAGACAGAGTCTTGCGAAAGGTTTAAGTCCCTTTTTATTCAACTTAAGAAATTACAATTGCCTGCTCTTGACGCTCACAAACTACGCCGACCCGGCGGTAAAATAAAAATAAGAACCTGAAAAGAAATAATAACAAGAGACTAACTACGAGGCTCTCTAAACGTAACTGACCTCACCGCGTTCTACAATACCGCTGATAATTCAGCAACTCTGAATATCACGTTGAACGATTAACAATTCTCCGAAGCAAGCACACAAGCCGAAACGCGTGGTTCTTCAATTTCGGACTAACTACCGCCGCGCTCGTGAAGTAAGAAAGCGCACTTCGAACTAGTTTCCTTTCTATTTAACTCAGAATACTTCCGCTGATAATTTGAATCCTTGCGCGTTCTACTAAAATTTACATACTCTGGCATTGGCAGTTCCAGGGGAAAGTAAGGCTTGACAGGAAAGATAGTTTAAACTTAAAATAAATGTTAGTTAAAATAAATATAAACCCTACAAGTCAAACAACAAAAATCAGCGTTATATTTTCAAATTTGAAAATATGACGCTGATTTTTGTTGTTTGACTTTTGAACTATTATAAATAACTGGTTAATTAACGTAAGATTCCCGACAACTTACTTTTCCTGTATGCGAAAATAATATTTAAAGAATGATATTCATCGTTTTAAGCAAGAAAGGTTTTTATTATTTATTCTGTTGATACCACAATCCAGAAATATGTCTGTGAATTGCTTTATTTTTTTATAATGTCGTTATGTACTTTTATTTTTATGAGTTTTAAAGGAACGTGTAATGTTTCTAACTACTTTGTCAAAGGTTAACTTAATAGAAACCTTGCTGAACTATTAGCGACTTATCGCTGAATCCAAGTGTGTAAATAAAAGGTCCAGAGAAGGGTTAAAGTCACCCTTTATTATCTCAGACTAAGAACACAGATGGCCCCTTTCTCGGGCTTTAACTCAAGTTAAGAAATTAAGAAACTAATTTAATGATAAACTAAACTGAACTTAGCTAAATCTGTATACAATTTTCTAATGAAGTTGGCCCTTAATTAAATAAACCGGAGAATATGAGCAGGCACGTACAGTACGGCCGAGCGTAGTTAGCTGTAAACAACGAAGTAGCCTGACGGCAAACACACGCCACCTGAGACCTCCTAAGCTCTTCAGCTGAAGTAAGCGAAGCCTTCCTTTAAATACTCTTTCTACCTCATTTAGGTGCAGTGCGATACTAAAAACTATGTTGGTAGGGAATAGTAGGTGGAAAACGAAAGACAGTAAAGCATGTTTGAAAATTGTAATAACTGTTGGAAACTTAAAATAACCTCTAAAAACGAAATGAAAAATTACATGATATGCGTTACAGATAGGCTTCCTAAAATTAAAATAAGATACAGTTTTCTAAAATTAAAATAAAATTGCTTGTACAGTATTATACACTGACCTGTAAAATACCTGTTAAGATTTTTTTATTTTTCATTTTTAATGTTTAACTAAAATGCAAAGTGCAGATGCTTACTGATTTCTAAAAATAACACTAGCAGCTTATTTATACATAAAAGGCTAAGTGGTTCCTAATAAAAATGTGGTTCATTTTTGCCAGGAAAATTCTAGTTAGCTTAACACTGTTTATGCTATTTAATATCGAACATCAGTTAAGAATGAAAAAGATTACTTTCCAAACTTGTATAAAACTGTCAAATCAAATGTTGCTTCCTGAAATAAAAACAAATTAAGAGTTGATTCCAGAGGTATTTGATTACGGGTTGAGGCGATAATAAATAAATAAATAAATCTGAAAGGCTTCAGATTTTAACGGTGGCCCAAAAGGATTATGTTAAGGTAATTTATGCTCTCTCTTGAGCTTGCAGTCTACCAATCTGCTGTTACGCTCACTCCTACGAACATATTTTGTGTGTGTGTGTTTAGATTTATTATTAAGCATCATATTCTTCGCACTTAGGCCATATACACATCAAAAATTTTCAAAGCAGCATAGCAGTATATGTTTAGAGTTCGTAAAGCAGCGTTAAGTGCTGGCATACCTTTTTTTTATTATTACTATTCAGTCTTTTCTCAGTTGACCATATCACGTTCTTGTCGCATACGCTACATAAAATTCGATTTAACAATAAAATCACAAAATATTTAGAAACAGCCTATTTTTAGAATAGGCAGTCTCGCGAGCTGGAGATTTTATTCCATACAGTGGTGCCACTGCTTACTTTGAAATCGTTGAGATTGTTGATAAAAAATTCTTTAAAGTTTTACAAAGTATGAAATATATAATAAAACGAATTCGGGACTATCTGGGCTAAAAAGGTCTGCTCTACAACTCGTTGCATGTTCTTTCATAATGCAGAAACAGCAAAATAGCATTGTCTGTACAACAGTATTTGGCTAAGTATTCAATTGTGATAAATCACCCATCATATTCTCCACACTTACAAGCAGCTGATTTCTTCCTTTTTCCGAATCTTAAGATGGCCATGAAAGGACAGAAATTTGAAAACGTCTGGTTATTAAATGAAATGTCACGCGTATTTTGCAAACTGTTAGTTTCAACGGCTGTAAACAGAGTTTCGATGGCTAAAGAAGTGTTTAAAAAATTGTATAGACTCCTCCCAATTATTTTGAAGGAGATAAATTTATTTGAAGGTTGGCAATCGTTTTCTAATTTATAAGAAACTGCTCGATTATTTTATGGGCGCACCTTGTATATAAGGAATGCGAAAACATCTCGGTGAGAGAAAGGGGGTCCTAGATGTAAAGAGTTCAAGAAGTGTTGATCTATAGTATTAATTTTGTTACATATAATTAAAAGTATTCTAAATAAATATAAGTATACCAAAGCTATGCAACATAAATATGTAACATGAGTATCATATGGTAAATCTATACAAATGTACTCTTTTAATTTTGTATTTTTTCTGCTTTATCAGTCAGCTCATTGCAAATTACATTGACCTCGAACCCAACAAAATTGAAGTTTCACTTTTCGTTGGGCGTTTTAATTTATAATTTCTTTTAAAGGAAAGAAAAATTATTATAGAAGTTTGGTTTAAACTATTGAATAGTTTTGAACAGACATCTATCGGGATATTTGCTGACTACATTATTTTTGCCTAATAATGTGTAGGTAATATTTCTACCTGAAACCGTAGTGGTTCGTTATTTGAATATAGCAAACACACGAAAGCTATATGCCTAAGCGAAGAGATGCCTTCGTCAAAGACTTTCGGTTTGTATTGACACTGCACATGAAACTATGAAAATCAGTCATGCAGCCAGCCCGATTTTCTAAGCTCGAACCAAGACGAACTACTAGTATGAACAGTTTTCAACACATGGTCACTGGTGAAGCTATAGTGCCAGTGTTGTTGAAGCGTTTTAAAAGCTGCCTCCACTCTGTTAATCATTTTTCCAGTCCCCAATAACCATTGTCTCTTAAATTAGTTTGAAACACATTTTTGAAATTTCCTAACTTTCTTCCGTTGAACAAACAGGTACAGGTTTTCGAAGAATTTCAGTCTCTGTTCGTGTTCACCGAACCCAATTAGTCAAGTTTTCTTACCATTAACAAATCATTCAAGTGAATGAGAAAGTTAGCCAAACACTCTTCACACACGATAGTTGGGTCATCCAGTCTTCAGATTTAAGTTTTCAGATCTCCAAGTCTGGGTTGGCAAAGTAAGTTACGAACTGCAAGAACTGAAAATTGGGCTACAACTGGCGGAATTATTCTGCAACTTCTTTGTGTTCTAATATTCTTTGTATTGAAAGCGAAGGATTTCATATTAGAGATGTGCATTCTTAAAATAAAATAGAGCGTGAAAAATATCATAAAATAGAGCGCGAAACATCATCAGACGGCAACATCAAATAGAAAAAGAAGTAAGCAACTTAAACTATAATCATTTTCTTAGAAACAGAGAAATCGAAACATACAGACACTATCATATCAAACAATGCTTCCTATCCTCTAATCAATAACTCGATAAATTTGAATCCAGTAGAAACGTGCAAAAACATAACTGGATGTTTTCCCCAACCGATAAAAATTATATTCAACCGATGTTGTTTTCTCGAAGATTCAACACACAGTAGTGAATAAGAACTCAAACAGCTTTGTAGCAGCATTCTAGACACGAATTCAACTTTGACATCAGTTCAGTAAGCAACAGTGAAACTAGAAAGAATATCTTGAACTAACGACTGTTTGGGAATAGAAAATGGCATGGACATTTAAATGAAACCGATCTGCAAGTTTTAAAATAAAACAAACCATAGTAAAATTATTAGTTAACGCCGTTGGATAATTAAATGCATTTAGGTAAAATGATCTTCATATCATAGCAAAATTGTGAGAAATTCATTTTGAAAACCTTTTTTTTCTTAAAATATTAGCAGGAATTTAAGATAAAAAGTTACTATTTTCTTTCTAGGTTAATTATAAGATACATTGATTGCATGGATAAATATGACAAATCTTGTGACGTGGAAATATTTTCAGTCCCCGGACAATACGAAAGTATTATTCGTCTCGTTGTTGATGTCTGTGACAGAAACACTCTTCTCCATAACGGTGAGTTAAATGGTTCTATTCCTATTTAGATGCATTAAAGCAGATTATGCAAAGTAGGTCAAGGAGAAAACTGTAAATACACATATTTTAAGCAATTCCTTCTTAGCTCAAGTTCCCAAAACACTCTCAATCGCAGTTCAGCTAGCTCTCTTCGAAGCGCAACCCTGATTAACAAAGAACTTTTCTTGCCTGTTACAGCCGTATTTATACAGTGTTGCATATGCATCCTTATGATGTAGCATGGGCTTCTGGAAGCTTCGGAAAAGTTAAATTTATGTCATCCAAAATGAGTTTTCCAGAATCTTTCAGTGAATCTCCAAGTTGGTGAGAAATTGTCAAATATCGCCAAGGTCCACTATTTTCGTATAGTTAGCGCACTACTTCAGCTATTATTATTGGGCTCACAATTGAAAGATCTGCAATGCTATATAAGAAATAAACACTTACAATCAAATAAAGCATGTGGTCACATATTCACTTAAATTCGAAACAAACAATAAAATTACCACACTGAAAGCAACAAATAAAGAAATAAAATAATGCACAGTATAGCAACAACACAGAAAAACAACAATGATGTAAAAGAGGATTTAAATATTTACACTAACTTACAACAATATTCCTTACATTTCTATTAGCAATATGATCTTAAACATATTCCAAAAATTTTCCGCCAGATGGTTTGGCTGAAATCGTATTTACCTCTTTTATCAATGAATCTAAGACAATTTCGGTATTTATGTAGATGTAAAAAAAAAAAAAAAAATTATATATTGCTGACAGTTATTGGCTCGTAAAAGATCCCATCAAAGGATTACTCCAGAAGAGCGGGAAGTAATTGACAATTTAATGGGAAAATAACAGTATACAGCGAAAATAAGGCTGTAAGTAACTCAAAGAGAATGCAGAGATAAAGTGAATTCTACGTGAAAAATATAAGTTGCCGATAACATTGACATAACTCAGTTTCCTTGCCTAACTCTTTGAACTCTTGAACTCTTTTTCCTGAGCCTGTTGCGTTCTTTAATAACATTCCTGATTTGCAGGGGAAGCTGACCATGATAGCGATCCGTGTTACATGTGGTAGTAGAATTTTCAAGAAAATTGTGAAGATTGCTAGTAAGGCGATTAATTGCTTCATTGATGTGTTCATTAGTACTGAGACAGGAGATGTTGAAGGAAGAAGCAAAGGCGAGATTCCAGAAAAGATTCAATCCGTGGTTTCTTCAAAGGAGAATATTTGGGATGCTTACTCCTAATTGGGCGATCACTGGCATGTGATCGGATGATAGGTTTTGGATCACATCAAGCTGCATCGGGATGTTTATGTTGCTGAAAAAATGTCCAAGATGTCGTGCCTGCGATTTAGAACGTTGGGCCTGTAAGTGTTGCTGTCAAAAATATGCAGATAAATGGGGTTGTTAAGAATGTAATCATCACTGACTACCACGGTTCAACACAACTGTTCCTATAGGATAAGCTAGCCTTCTATAGGCTACAAGAAAATTTGCTGCTGGGGTTTTAAAATGCGTTTTCCAGAAATTTCCTAAAAAATTGCTAAAGTGACGAGAAATTTCCAAATGTCATTAACTTGACAGCACAAATTATAGCTAAGGACATTTTGGCTTCTAATTCAACATTTTTATCAATATAAACGTTAAAATCTATAATAAACAGTTATAGACCCCGTATGTGGCTCTAAATTCGATCAAATCAAAATACATACTAAAATTATTATAAAAGTACAACAAATAATCAAGCAAATAAATAGAACGATGCGTAACTTTATAAAAATGCACAAAAAACAAAATATAATCAAATCCTTTAAAAATGTACAGCAATATATATATATTTAGGCTTACGCTTCATACTTGCTTCAGGAAGTATCGTATAAATGTTTAATTGTCCCATTTCTTGCAGTCTTTGTGGAAAGTCTTCCGTGCTATCAGGAAGTACTGAGCAATCTCGACAAAAATTGCTTCGAGCCGAGGGCTGAGCTCCATCATGCTGTAGAAGCCCACATGGCGTCGGAATTATTGAATATAACGGATGAAGCTAATGAAAGATCTGAAATTTTGAGACAATACAGCTTGATGTGTCTGTAAGTATAATTTTAATCACAGTTTGCATATGATTGTCACAATGCCGAATCTGCACATTTTGCTCTTAACATCTTATTTCTCATTTCGAAAAAAATTTGAAAACTGCATTAATTTAATCTGAGTATAAAATCCAGAAAAAGTCTAGAAAATCCAAAACTTGTAATACTTTTATTATTTTTCGGTATTTCCTTCTATAACGAAAGATAGAAATATGCATTTTCCGATTTTAATGCATGTAAAACAACAAATAAATGAAAATAAATATTTCTATAAAGGAATCCTTGAATATGCCGCCCATATGGTTTAGTGGTTAGGGGAGTCGACTGCGGTGCCAAAGAGCTCGAGTTCGAATACTGGAGAAGGTATGGATATTTGTAAATATATAGTGTCTTTGCGGCATGGGAGCACTCTAAATATATGGCGAGCCCAAAGTCCTTACGTGTGGACTGGTGGTAAGGCAGAAGAGTGGGAGATCCTCGGACCACCCCTGGGTGTGCTGTCTTTCAAAACTTGGACGAAAATAGAAGTTCAATCACCTTGCTTTGGCAACCATCCTTCCATAAAAATCCATGGACAAGACAGTTCGTGACTATGTTTTTCGTTGAAGTAGAAATTCTGAAGGTTAGATTGGTACAGTGCTTTACCTTTCAATATTTTTTTTTTTGAATAAATAAGTGTGTAATAATGTTTTTCATTACTTAAGTAAGTTTTTTTTCGCTTAATAACCAGCAACTATTTGGAGTTAAATATAACTTCACTTCATGATAATGAATGCTTTCTGCTGATTAACAAAAATGTAAACCACTTAATACAAACAAAAGATCTTTTCTGGATTCTATTCTTTTTAGACTTCCATTTTATGAATTACCAAATGCACTTCATTTAGAGTTTACTAGTTGCCTATAAAAATTTTTATTCCAATAAAATACTATAACAAGAAGAATTTTTTTAATTAATTTTCAGAATGAATGTGCCATTAAATTTAAGCAAACACAAAATTTAAAATTAATCTTCCGGCAAATGTCTGGAATAATTTTAATGGTAGTTAGAATTTTTTAATGTAATATTACAACAAAATCCTGTTTATGTGGAACTGGGATTGTGCTATTTCTAACAAACCATGGCCGAATTCGTTTTCAATAGAAATGGAAAACGGCTCATTTTCCTTCTCGTTAGTTTCAGTAATAATATCATTTTAGTACATTCTTCGTATGAATATATAGAGATAGATCGATAGATATAGATATAAATAGATGTCATATATAGATACAGATCTCCTACTTGCCTAAAATTTAACAAGATGAGCCTTCAAATAGAAAATATCAGTTACTTACATTTAGACATGTCAGACTAGAAAAACTCAAAATTTATAACGAAAGAAGAGAATTTAAATTCAATACCATTAAATTAATTAACTTGCTTTCTAACATCTCAAAAAGTAATCTTTAACACTATTCGCATTCAACTGATTAGAATAAAAAATTTTGCGATAATAATAATTTTTTTCAGAAAGAAGCTTGACTATTAATAAATTTTCTTACAGAAAATAAACTCCCAAATTCAAAATTCGCCAAACTTTAAAAAAAAAGCGGGCATTAACTATACTTAAATTACATGTTTACTGTGATATGATCATTTGAACCTAAACCAAGAGGCGGGTAAAGAAGGGTGGCATTTACAAGCAATCTAATGTTAGTATGTAATTAATCTCTGTAAAATATATATTTACTTTCTCTCATTTTAGTTTTAAAAAATCTAATCTGGCCCCTTTCCCTTTATTAAAAAAGACCAATTTTTTTTTTTTAGTCCAAAGGGATTTGAATCCCGAAGGACTATTAGTTTCGTTTTGGCATTTTGCGTCGGACTCATAAATGTCGGTTCACTTTTCAAACTGATGCCACAAATATTAGCGCCATGTATTATATTTAAGGAAATTGAATATTGAAGAATGCATAAATGAATGTTTCTCGCATTGTGATAGAAGCAACGGTACCTAGAGAGATCGAAATTTTGAATAAGGTAGTCACGGGCCCGACCACGAATATGGCACTTAGAAGCCCGAAATTTGAAATTTAGAATTTGTTTTATTATCTATTTAAAATTTTTTAAAACTTTGAAATATTTGATTGACAAACTCAAACGATTTCAAATCGAGCAATGGCAACACTTGTACGGAAAAAAACATTTTTATCTCCAGCGTGAGTCTCTGTATCGGAAATTCTAAGATATGCTCGGTTTAAAACTATTTTGCGATATTGCTGTTGCACTGATCTTATGGTTTAAGTGCGAGGAACATGTATTAATAAAAAAAGGTAACCAAATGTTAAAAAACGCCCTTGGACGTAATTTAAAATCTGAACATTTCAGTTTTTTTTTTTTTTTTTTTTTTTTTTTTTTTTTCTCAAAGACATATTAGCTCGTTTACGTGAAACTTTTTACCTTTTACTAGCTGTTACTTCATTATTGCCTTAGCTGTTGTCGGATTTAATCTATAATCGAGGTTCTTAGGGGCTAAAAATGAGAAGCTTTTTCTTTTTTTTTTTTTTTTTTTTTTTTTTTTTTTTTTTTTTTTTTAGTCCAAAGGGGCTTTGTGGCTTTGTCCCTGAAGGACTATTGTTTTCGTTTTGAGATTTTGCGTCGGAACCCTATAAACGGCGTATCGTTAGGCTGATTCGCTTGTACAGGGCCTCATAATTTTCATCCGAGTTTATTATTATGTTGTATTTTGTTTGCATATTAATTATTACATAACTCTGCAATAAGAATATGCGCTTTTGTTTTAGAATGCGTAAACAAGGGCTAATTTACCAGAATTTCCTGGATGTATAATTGAAATAGTTTGATTTTATATTGACTATAATACTTAAGTTTTTGAGAAAGACTTTCAAAAAATTTTTAGAATTTATTATGTGATCATCAAACTATATTTTTTCAAGAATTTGAAAATTGGACTCTAAATTTAATTTACAGAATGATATTTTGTTCCAGGATTTCTAAATTACATCTTGAAGGCATTTATTTCCTTTATTATTTAAATTGTAAATATTCTACAAAAGTTTTCTTTCTTTGTTAACACACTGATGCCTTCTTCTTAAAAAGCTTTCTTCTCGCGAAGACGTTTTCTCCTTGAAGGAGGGGAATATGTAAGATAAAAATATATATCTCCGAATTATACTGTAAGTTAGCATTAGCTCTTAATTCCTCCTTTTGATTTGGGAACTTTAACTGTCTATTTTAAAGTGGTAATAACTTTTTCAAAATTGCGTCTAATCTGAAAACTAATTCCGCAGTAAGTGATCATAATCTTCTGCATTGCGTGTAGTTCTTAGCCAATCAGATTAATGAAAACTTTTACTAAAAATACCATTATAATCAAACTACGTTTTTCTCTGCTCGCACTTCATAGCTGAAGGACATCTCTTGCTTGGTTGCTTTTGTTAAAAAAAAAAATGTAATTCATCATCATCAAAATTGTCGCGTGCGTATTGCGCCCACTGTGTTGTGCCATTTAATAGAGTAATCAAGAAGTAATAAAGATATGCAGTACAAAGTTCAAAATCCGGACGTCCATTATCCGGAATAATCTAAAATGCGAACCTCAAAACAACCAACAACGTTTTTCTCCTATGTTTTACGCATGCGCATTTGATTCGCCCATAATAAAACATCTGGAAAGTACCGGATCACCTCATGCAAGTTCGCATGATAATTCCGGCTTATCAGCGGAACTAGGGACTAGGAAGATTCTTAATTTCACTTCGACACTAAATAAATTACCTTGTTATTGAAGAAACAAACATTTTAGCATAAATTTTTACGATCAGTAATTTGGCTCCGTTGCTGCGTGCCTGCTTTTTGGCACACATCTCAAACCGAAACATGCCACATAGATACATCGTTGATCTGACACTAAACTGGCGAATCATTATTTATTATACTTTCCTTTCATCACCGCATGTTTATCAAAACATGACAACTTGAGTAATGACTCATGCAGCGATGCCTAAGCAATTTTTTAATGTTAGTAATTGAATAATAAAGGAGTATGGTAACCTTTTATGTTGACATTACGCTTGGTGATGATTACAGAATTAAGTTAAATGCGCTAAAAAATGTTGCCGAGGAAAAATTTACCAAAACTTTCTTGCCATATGCTAAAAATAGATTTTGTTGGTGATACTTATAGACTCAAAAATAACATTTAGGGCTATTTGAATTAAGAATAACTAATTTGTTATTCACATAAACCCAGAACCAGCGCCAGGGCTCGTATGGCTGCATGGAGTCGCAGAATTTAGGACCCACAGAGACTGCATCAGGCAGCAAGATATTGCAGCCTTGGCTACTAATGTTTAAAATTAATTTATGATTAGGAAAGCATGAATTATAAAATAATAGCTAAGTTTATTGCATTTTATTTTTCAGCTATCGAAATACGACGCTACGAGCAACGTTTTGAAACCAAAACCTAGCAATCATGAATCAGAACTAGAACCAGTTGCCATTCAGCATAAAGAAATTTAAATATAAATATGAACTACTTATTGCTATTCAGCATAAAATATAAATATGAATATTAACAAAATATTAAAGTTAATTTATAAAATAATTAAACACATGAACAATATATGAAATAAAAAATAATTATTTCTCATGCAATAACTGGGCCACTACACTACTCCCCTACCAGCAACTACGTTACGTTACGAAGATGGAGAAATAGGTGGTAACTAGTAGTGCAGTGTTAACCACTATCAAAATAATTTAGTGAGTCCTTGAATCTAACAGGTAAATGTATAGTTCTGCCTGTGCGAGAATGTTTTTGATTCACATCGGAATTTGAGTTTGGTCTCTGCAAGTTACTGTAGTCAGGTTGTATCAACTGGGAATTTTCCTGAGCTAAAATATATGGTGTTTTAAAGCTATCTAGGGATACATTAACATGTTTTCATTTTATGCTAATAGTAAAATATTTGTCCTTGCGATAAATAACAAGAAATGCTCCTTCATAAGGAAGTTCCA